GTTTATGAAAATCTCCAGAGAGGTTTATGTTCGAAAATCTGAAGTTACGGTAAAAAAACTGAAATTGACAAAATGAGATTAGGGGGGTAGAGCACTAAAAGTTTATGTTGAACCAATTTATAGAGATTGTGACGGGCAACGACTATATAGTTGTTGTAGAGGAGATATTGGCGCATCGTGTAGAAAAAACATCCAGATCACTTTATGTTCGAAAATCTGAAGTTAGGGTTAAAAAACCTAAAATTTACAAAATGAGATTTAGGGGTTGGGCACTCAAAGTTAATTTTGGACCAATTTATAGAGATTGTGACGGGCAACGACTATATAGGTGTTGAAGAGGAGACATTGGCGAATCGTTTAAGAAAATCTCAAGATTGGTTTATGTTCGAAAATCTGAACTTACGGTTAAAAAACTGAAATTGTGAAATTGACAAAATGAGATTAGAGGGTAGGCCAATTTAAGTTAACTTTGGACCAATTTCAAGAGATTGTGACGGACAACGACTATATAGGTGTTGTAGAGGAAACAATGGCGCATCGTTTAAGAAAATCTCCAGAGTGGTTGATGTTCGAAAATCTGAAGTTACGGTCAAAAAACTGAAAATTTTATTGTGAAATTGACAAAATGAGATTAGGGGGGTAGGGCACTAAAAGAAAAATTTGGACCATTTAAAAGAGATTGTGACGGGCAACGACTATATAGGTGTTGTAGGGGAGACAATGGCGGATCGTTTAAGAAAATCTCCAGAGTGGTTTATGTTCGAAAATCTAAAGTCATGGTTAAAAAAATGAAATTGTGAAATTGACAAAATGAGATTAGGGGGTAGGCCAATTTAAGTTATTCTTTGGACCAATTTATAGAGATTGTGACGGGCAACGACTATATAGGTGTTGTAGAGGAGACATTGGCGCATCGTTAAGGAAAATCTCCAGAGTGGTTTATGTTCGAAAATCTGAAGTTACGGTTAAAAAACTGAAATTTCGAAATTGACAAAATGAGATTGGGGGTTAGGCCAATTTAAGTTAATTTTGGACCAATTTCAAGAGATTGTGACGGGCAATGACTATATAGGTGTTGTATAGGAGACATTGGCGCATCGTTTAGGAAAATCTTCAGAGTGGTTTATGTTCGAAAATCTGAAGTTACGGTTAAAAAACTGAAACTTTTATTGTGAAATTGACAAAATGAGATTAGGGGGGTAGGGAACTAAAAGAAAAATTTGGACCATTTTAAAGAGATTGTGACGGGCAACGACTATACAGGTGTTGTAGGGGAGACAATGGCGCATCGTTTAAGAAAATCTCCAGAGTGGTTTATGTTCGAAAATCTGAAGTTACGGTTAAAAAACTGAAATTGTGAAATTGACAAAATGAGATTAGGGGGGTAGGCCAATTTAAGTTAATTTTTGACCTATTTCAAGAGATTGTGACGGGCAACGACTATATAGGTATTGTAGAGGAGACAATGGCGCATCGTTTAAGAAAATCTCCAGAGTGGTTTATGTTCGAAAATCTGAAGTTACGGTTAAAAAACTAAAACTTTTATTGTGAAATTGACAAAATGAGATTAGGGGGGTAGGGCACTAAAAGAAAAATTTGGACCATTTTAAAGAGATTGTGACGGGCAACGGCTATATAGGTGTTGTAAAGGAGACATTGGCGCATCGTTTAAGAAAATCTCCAGAGTGGTTTATGTTCGAAAATCTGATGTTACGGTTAAAAAACTGAAACTGTGAAATTGACAAAATGAGATTAGAGGGGTAGGCCAATTTAAGTTAATTTTTGACCAATTTCAAAAGATTGTGACGGGCAACGACTATATAGGTATTGTAGAGGAGACAATGGCGCATCGTTTAAGAAAATCTCCAGAGTGGTTTATGTTCGAAAATCGGAAGTTACGGTTAAAAAACTGAAAATTTTATTGTGAAATTGACAAAATGAGATTAGGGGGTAGGGCACTAAAAGAAAAGTTTGGACCAATTTCAAGAGATTGTGACGGGCAACCACTATATAGGTGTTGTAGAGGAGGCAATGGCGCATCGTTTAAGAAAATCTCCAGAGTGGTTTATGTTCGAAAATCTGAAGTTACGCTTAAAAAAATGACATTGTGAAATTGACAAAATGAGATTGTGGGTAAGGCCAATTTTAGTTAATTTTGGACCAATTTCAAGAGATTGTGACGGGCAACAACTATATAGGTGTTGTAGAGGAGATATTGGCGCATCGTTTAGGAAAATCTCCAGAGTGGTTTATGTTCGAAAATCTGAAGTTACGGTCAAAAAACTAAAAATTTTATTGTGAAATTGACAAAATGAGATTAGGGGGTTAGGGCACTAAAAGAAAAATTTGGACCATTTTAAAGAGATTGTGACGGGCAACGACTATATAGGTGTTGTAGGGGAGACAATGGCGGATCGTTTAAGAAAATCTCCAGAGTGGTTTATGTTCGAAAATCTAAAGTCATGGTTAAAAAAATGTTTATTGTGAAATTGACCAAATGAGATTAGGGGGGTAGGCCAATTTAAGTTATTCTTTGGACCAATTTATAGAGATTGTGACGGGCAACGACTATAAAGGTGTTGTAGAGGAGACATTGGCGCATCGTTAAGGAAAATCTCCAGAGTGGTTTATGTTCGAAAATCTGAAGTTACGGTTAAAAAACTGAAATTTCGAAATTGACAAAATGAGATTGGGGGTTAGGCCAATTTAAGTTAATTTTGGACCAATTTCAAGAGATTGTGACGGGCAATGACTATATAGGTGTTATAGAGGAGACATTGGCGCATCGTTTAGGAAAATCTTCAGAGTGGTTTATGTTCGAAAATCTGAAGTTACGGTTAAAAAACTGAAACTTTTATTGTGAAATTGACAAAATGAAATTAGGGGAGTAGGGCACTAAAAGAAAAATTTGGACCATTTTAAAGAGATTGTGACGGGCAACGACTATACAGGTGTTGTAGGGGAGACAATGGCGCATCGTTTAAGAAAATCTCCAGAGTGGTTTATGTTCGAAAATCTAAAGTCATGGTTAAAAAAATGAAATTGTGAAATTGACAAAATGAGATTAGGGGGTAGGCCAATTTAAGTTATTCTTTGGACCAATTTATAGAGATTGTGACGGGCAACGACTATATAGGTGTTGTAGAGGAGACATTGGCGCATCGTTAAGGAAAATCTCCAGAGTGGTTTATGTTCGAAAATCTGAAGTTACGGTTAAAAAACTGAAATTTCGAAATTGACAAAATGAGATTGGGGGTTAGGCCAATTTAAGTTAATTTTGGACCAATTTCAAGAGATTGTGACGGGCAATGACTATATAGGTGTTGAAGAGGAGATAGTGCCGCATCGGTTAGGAAAATCTTCAGAGTGGTTTATGTTCGAAAATCTGAAGTTACGGTTAAAAAACTGAAACTTTTATTGTGAAATTGACAAAATGAGATTAGGGGAGTAGGGCACTAAAAGAAAAATATGGACCATTTTAAAGAGATTGTGACGGGCAACGACTATACAGGTGTTGTAGGGGAGACAATGGCGCATCGTTTAAGAAAATCTCCAGAGTGGTTTATGTTCGAAAATCTGAAGTTACGCTTAAAAAACTGAAATTGTGAAATTGACAAAATGAGATTAGGGGGGTAGGCCAATTTAAGTTAATTTTTGACCTATTTCAAGAGATTGTGACGGGCAACGACTATATAGGTATTGTAGAGGAGACAATGGCGCATCGTTTAAGAAAATCTCCAGAGTGGTTTATGTTCGAAAATCTGAAGTTACGGTTAAAAAACTAAAACTTTTATTGTGAAATTGACAAAATGAGATTAGGGGGGTAGGGCACTAAAAGAAAAATTTGGACCATTTTAAAGAGATTGTGACGGGCAACGGCTATATAGGTGTTGTAAAGGAGACATTGGCGCATCGTTTAAGAAAATCTCCAGAGTGGTTTATGTTCGAAAATCTGAAGTTACGGTTAAAAAACTGAAACTGTGAAATTGACAAAATGAGATTAGGGGGGTAGGCCAATTTAAGTTAATTTTTGACCAATTTCAAGAGATTGTGACGGGCAACGACTATATAGGTATTGTAGAGGAGACAATGGCGCATCGTTTAAGAAAATCTCCAGAGTGGTTTATGTTCGAAAATCGGAAGTTACGGTTAAAAAACTGAAAATTTTATTGTGAAATTGACAAAATGAGATTAGGGGGTAGGGCACTAAAAGAAAAATTTGGACCAATTTCAAGAGATTGTGACGGGCAACCACTATATAGGTGTTGTAGAGGAGGCAATGGCGCATCGTTTAAGAAAATCTCCAGAGTGGTTTATGTTTGAAAATCTGAAGTTACGCTTAAAAAAATGACATTGTGAAAATGACAAAATGAGATTGGGGGTAAGGCCAATTTTAGTTAATTTTGGACCAATTTCAAGAGATTGTGACGGGCAACGACTATATAGGTGTTGTAGAGGAGATATTGGCGCATCGTTTAGGAAAATCTCCAGAGTGGTTTATGCTCGAAAATCTGAAGTTACGGTAAAAAAACTAAAAATTTTATTGTGAAATTGACAAAATGAGATTAGGGGGGTAGGGCACTAAAAGAAAAATTTGGACCATTTTAAAGAGATTGTGACGGGCAACGACTATATAGGTGTTGTAGGGGAGACAATGGCGGATCGTTTAAGAAAATCTCCAGAGTGGTTTATGTTCGAAAATCTAAAGTCATGGTTAAAAAAATGAAATTGTGAAATTGACAAAATGAGATTAGGGGGGTAGGCCAATTTAAGTTATTCTTTGGACCAATTTATAGAGATTGTGACGGGCAACGACTATATAGGTGTTGTAGAGGAGACATTGGCGCATCGTTAAGGAAAATCTCCAGAGTGGTTTATGTTTGAAAATCTGAAGTTACGGTTAAAAAACTGAAATTTCGAAATTGACAAAATGAGATTGGGGGTTAGGCCAATTTAAGTTAATTTTGGACCAATTTCAAGAGATTGTGACGGGCAATGACTATATAGGTGTTGTAGAGGAGACATTGGCGCATCGTTTAGGAAAATCTTCAGAGTGGTTTATGTTCGAAAATCTGAAGTTACGGTTAAAAAACTGAAACTTTTATTGTGAAATTGACAAAATGAGATTAGGGGGTTAGGGCACTAAAAGAAAAATTTGGACCATTTTAAAGAGATTGTGACGGGCAACGACTATACAGGTGTTGTAGGGGAGACAATGGCGCATCGTTTAAGAAAATCTCCAGAGTGGTTTATGTTCGAAAATCTGAAGTTACGGTTAAAAAACTGAAATTGTGAAATTGACAAAATGAGATTAGGGGGGTAGGCCAATTTAAGTTAATTTTTGACCTATTTCAAGAGATTATGACGGGCAACGACTATATAGGTATTGTAGAGGAGACAATGGCGCATCGTTTAAGAAAATCTCCAGAGTGGTTTATGTTCGAAAATCTGAAGTTACGGTTAAAAAACTGAAATTGTGAAATTGACAAAATGAGATTAGGGGGGTAGGCCAATTTAAGTTAATTTTGGACCAATTTCAAGAGATTGTGACGGGCAATGACTATATAGGTGTTGAAGAGGAGATAGTGCCGCATCGGTTAGGAAAATCTTCAGAGTGGTTTATGTTCGAAAATCTGAAGTTACGGTTAAAAAACTAAAACTTTTATTGTGAAATTGACAAAATGAGATTAGGGGAGTAGGGCACTTAAAGAAAAATATGGACCATTTTAAAGAGATTGTGACGGGCAACGACTATACAGGTGTTGTAGGGGAGACAATGGCGCATCGTTTAAGAAAATCTCCAGAGTGGTTTATGTTCGAAAATCTGAAGTTACGCTTAAAAAACTGAAATTGTGAAATTGACAAAATGAGATTAGGGGGGTAGGCCAATTTAAGTTAATTTTTGACCTATTTCAAGAGATTATGACGGGCAACGACTATATAGGTATTGTAGAGGAGACAATGGCGCATCGTTTAAGAAAATCTCCAGAGTGGTTTATGTTGGAAAATCTGAAGTAACGGTTAAAAAACTAAAACTTTTATTGTGAAATTGACAAAATGAGATTAGGGGGGTAGGCCAATTTAAGTTAATTTTTGACCTATTTCAAGAGATTATGACGGGCAACGACTATATAGGTATTGTAGAGGAGACAATGGCGCATCGTTTAAGAAAATCTCCAGAGTGGTTTATGTTCGAAAATCGGAAGTTACGGTTAAAAAACTGAAAATTTTATTGTGAAATTGACAAAATGAGATTAGGGGGTAGGGCACTAAAAGAAAAATTTGGACCAATTTCAAGAGATTGTGACGGGCAACCAGTATATAGGTGTTGTAGAGGAGGCAATTGCGCATCGTTTAAGAAAATCTCCAGAGTGGTTTATGTTCGAAAATCTGAAGTTACGCTTAAAAAAATGACATTGTGAAATTGACAAAATGAGATTGGGGGTAAGGCCAATTTTAGTTAATTTTGGACCAATTTCAAGAGATTGTGACGGGCAACTACTATATAGGTGTTGTAGAGGAGATATTGGCGCATCGTTTAGGAAAATCTCCAGAGTGGTTTATGTTCGAAAATCTGAAGTTACGGTCAAAAAACTAAAAATTTTATCGTGAAATTGACAAAATGAGATTAGGGGGGTAGGGCACTAAAAGAAAAATTTGGACCATTTTAAAGAGATTGTGACGGGCAACGACTATATAGGTGTTGTAGGGGAGACAATGGCGGATCGTTTAAGAAAATCTCCAGAGTGGTTTATGTTCGAAAATCTAAAGTCATGGTTAAAAAAATGAAATTGTGAAATTGACAAAATGAGATTAGGGAGGTAGGCCAATTTAAGTTATTCTTTGGACCAATTTATAGAGATTGTGACGGGCAACGACTATATAGGTGTTGTAGAGGAGACATTGGCGCATCGTTAAGGAAAATCTCCAGAGTGGTTTATGTTCGAAAATCTGAAGTTACGGTTAAAAAACTGAAATTTCGAAATTGACAAAATGAGATTGGGGGTTAGGCCAATTTAAGTTAATTTTGGACCAATTTCAAGAGATTGTGATGGGCAATGACTATATAGGTGTTGTAGAGGAGACATGGGCGCATCGTTTAGGAAAATCTTCAGAGTGGTTTATGTTCGAAAATCTGAAGTTACGGTTAAAAAACTGAATCTTTTATTGTGAAATTGACAAAATGAGATTAGGGGGGTAGGGCACTAAAAGAAAAATTTGGACCATTTTAAAGGGATTGTGACGGGCAACGACTATACAGGTGTTGTAGGGGAGACAATGGCGCATCGTTTAAGAAAATCTCCAGAGTGGTTTATGTTCGAAAATCTGAAGTTACGGTTAAAAAACTGAAATTGTGAAATTGACAAAATGAGATTAGGGGGGTAGGCCAATTTAAGTTAATTTTTGACCAATTTCAAGAGATTTTGACGGGCAACGACTATATAGGTATTGTAGAGGAGACAATGGCGCATCGTTTAAGAAAATCTACAGAGTGGCTTATGTTCGAAAATCGGAAGTTACGGTTAAAACACTGAAAATTTTATTGTGAAATTGACAAAATGAGATTAGGGGGTAGGGCACTAAAAGAAAAATTTGGACCAATTTCAAGAGATTGTGACGGGCAACCACTATATAGGTGTTGTAGAGGAGGCAATGGCGCATCATTTAAGAAAATCTCCAGAGTGGTTTATGTTCGAAAATCTGAAGTTACGTTAAAAAAAATGACATTGTGAAATTGACAAAATGAGATTGGGGGTAAGGCCAATTGTAGTTAATTTTGGACCAATTTCAAGAGATTGTGACGGGCAACGACTATATAGGTGTTGTAGAGGAGATATTGGCGCATCGTTTAGGAAAATCTCCAGAGTGGTTTATGTTCGAAAATCTGAAGTTACGGTTAAAAAACTGAAACTTTTATTGTGAAATTGACAAAATGAGATTAGGGGGTAGGACAATTTAAGTTAATTTTGGACCAATTTCAAGAGATTGTGACGGGCAACGACTATATAGGTGTTGTAGAGGAGACATTGGCACATCGTTTAAGAAAATCTCCAGAGTGGTTTATGTTCGAAAATCTGAAGTTATGGTTAAAAAACTGAAAATTTTGTTGTGAAATTGACAAAATGAAATTAAGGGGTAGGGCACTAAAAGGAAATTTTGGACAATTTCAGAGAGATTTTGACGGAAAAACGACTATATAGATGTTGTAGAGGAGACATCGGCGCATCGTTTAGGAAAATCTCCGGAGTGGTTTATGTTCAAAATTTGAAGTTACGGTTAAAAAACTGAAAATTTTATTGTGAAATTGACAAAATGAGATTAGGGGGTAGGGCACTAAAAGGAAATTTTGGACCATTTCAAAGAGAGTTTGACGGACAATGACTATATAGATGTTGTAGAGGAGACATTGGCGCATCGTTTAGGAAAATCTCCAGAGTGGTTTATGTTCAAAATTTGAAGTTACGGTTAAAAAACAGAAATTGTAAAAACGTGGGATGGCTTACCTTAAGATGATTGAAGACCAATTTATAGAGATTGTGACGGGCAAAGACTGTATATGTAACGTAGAGGAGACATTAGAGAAGACATTGGCGTATCTATTTAGAAAAACTCCAGAATCGTTTATGTTTGGAAATCTGAAGTTAGGTTAAAAAAAATAGGGACGGGGGGGGGGGTTACCTTGTATAATGGAATGATTTTACTTTTTATACTTGTATAAAAAGGTACATCAATATTTTTGCCCGCGAAATTTATCCGACAGTATGTATACACCGTTTACAACACACTTTCTCTTGAGTCGGTAGTCCACAAACACGACAATGAAGTAAGTAATTTTTTATATTGAAATAACAGGGTCCTAAAACTTTGACAATGTCATTTTATATTCTTTTTGCATATCTCTTTCTGTCAACTCCTTCGCCATCCACATAACACATGGATGATTGTAAACGTGCACATTATTACATATTTATACTGCACACAACATAATTGATAATAATGGTCCCCGAAAATGGGAAGGAATATAATACAGTCCTATTAATTTTATTTTACTAATAAAAAAGAAGTGATTGCTGAAATAAAGAAGTAATTTGTCTGAAAGCTTTGGAATTATCTTGTTGAATGACCAAATCACACCCCTTCCCTTTTTTCGACGAGTCAACGGTCGTTAAACGTTCTAACGGGTGAACGCACATTTATCTCCGAGCTTCGTTGAGTATAATAGGGTAATAGCTAAACTTCTGATAAACTTTGTCAAATTATTTGACTGAGACAATTTCAATTTTTTTTTTACAAAATAATGGAAAATATGAGAGAACAGTAATACAAAAACGAAATTTAAAACACAACTTTGTTTTGAATTTAAAATTTTAATAGATGTTTACATCAGTGTTTATTGTTTTCTCTGTCCGAACTCAGCATCTGTCAAATTCAAAAATGTTATGGGGACGATACGCAAGTTTATGGCAAGAGTTGATAGATGTTCGTCTGTGGTAGCTAATAACGGTTTATTATCTTTCTCGTGAACTAGGTTGCACGTGTTCCAATTTTAGTGTTTGTCAACTTTTATGTTAATCAGTTGTTTCTAGATTTTAGAAGAATTAGCTGTGCGATATCGAACTTATATTTTTTTAGAAAATAAATATATTTACATTTACTCGCGTGTGAAATAATTCTAGTGAAAAAAATATCACAAAAAGGAATTCTATAACCTATCAATATTTTTAGCTTATTATGCCCCCGCCGTAGCGGAGGGGCATTAAGATTTACCCTTGTCCGTCTGTACGTCCGTGCGTCTGTACGTCCCAAATAATGCCAATGCTAAATATAATGTAAAAGTCCGAGTCATCCTTTTCGCCCCATTAAAAAAAACATATATCACAAAAAGGAATTCTATAACCTATCAATATTTTTAGCTTATTATGCCCCGCCGTAGCGGAGGGGCATTGAGCTTTACTCTTGTCCGTCTGTACGTCCGTGCATCCGTATGTCCCAAATAATGCTAATGCTAAATATAATGTAAAAGTCCGAGTCATCCTTTTCGCCCCATTTAAAAAAAAATCATACATCACAAAAAGGAACTCGATAACCTATCAATATTTTTTAGCTTATTATGCCCCCGCCGTAGCGCAGGGGCATTAAACTTTACCCTTGTCCGTCTGTACGTCCGTGCATCCGTATGTCCCAAATAATGCCAATGCTAAATTTAATGTAAAAGTCCGAGTCATCCTTTTCGCCCCATTTAAAAAAAAATCATATATCACAAAAAGGAACTCGATAACCTATCAATATTTTTTAGCTTATTATGCCCCCGCCGTAGCGGAGGGGCATTAAACTTTACCTTTGTCCGTCTGAACGTCCCTGTGTGCGTAAGTCCCAAAATTGGTTTCCGTTCTCTAACTTAGTTTGCCTCAACCAATTGTCATAAAACTTATACACAATATATAGATATAAGAAGATGTGGTATGAGTGCAAATGAGACAACTCTCCATCCAAGTCAAAATTTATAAAAGTAAACAATTAAAGGTCAAAGTACGGTCTTCAACATGGAGCCTTAGCTCACACCCAAAAATTACTAGTGTAAAACCATTCAAACGGGAAAACCAACGGTCTAATCTATATAAAAAACGAGAAACGAGAAACACTTATGAACCACATCAACAAACGATGCTTATTACCACAAAACACAGATCAAATTTTAATTTTGGTGGCGTCACTTTTACCGTTCTAGAGTTATACTCCTTTACAAAAAGAAAAATTGCTGAAATTTTCATTTCCGTTCTCTTTAACTCCAATTTGTCTCAACCAAATGTTATTTTGTTCCATAACTTATGCTCTTCTGATTTAAAGTATCAATTTAAGATCGGTTTTATGTTAGAATTTCACCTACCTACACCCTACAGATGGCTTTATTACACATTTTTGAATATTCAAAAAGAGCATTCTAAGGATAATTTTATATTCAACGTGTATAACTTCAATTGATGTTTTTACCTTTGACGTTTTTTTTAAACTTTTATTTCCCGTCTTACGAAAAGAGAAGAAGTCTGTTTGTTAACATTTTACACCATATTCACACGAAAAAAAACATGATAACACTCGAAAAAGACCGATCAATTCACGCTTTAAAACGATCCAGGGCACAAAATCGTCTATTTTGTGGTCGTGAAGTTTTCTTTTGATTTTTGTCGAGCCTGCGACTTTTGTCGCAAAAGCGAGACATAGCGATCCTACATTCCGTCGTCGGCGTTGTCGTCGTCGTCGTCCGGCGTCGTCGGCGGCGTCAACAAATATTCACTCTGTGGTTTAAGTTTTTGAAATTTTAATAACTTTCTTAAACTATCCTGGATTTCTAATAAACTTGGACAGAAGCTTGTTTATGATCATAAGATAGTATCCAGAAGTAAATTTTGTAAACAAAAATCCTGTTTATCCGTATTTTACTCATAAATGGACTTAGTTTTTCTGCCAGTTAACATTACATTCACTCTGTGGTTAAAGTTTTTCAAATTTTAATAACTTTCTTAAACTATCCTGGATTTGTACCAACCTTGGACAGAAGCTTGTTTATAATCATAAGATA